CAGGGGATCTCGTAGTCGAGCAGTCTCGACTAGAGCTTTCTTACTTGTTAGAATTTAGTTCCCATTATGAAGGTATATAAGATAAAGTATAAAATCTTATAGATATACAAATGTAAAATGAAAAGCTCAAAAAATTCTCAATTTTATTACAGACGTCTCTCTTGTTGAGATGATGCAAGAATTCCTTAAAAAGTAAACTCCTTATGAATGACACGAATCAGAATATTTATAAGAGCTTCGAGCTTCCACGTTCTTCAACATTATAGACATTTGTAGACCTTATTCTTACCCGATTTATGCATAATCATTTCGAATGCATATTTATGAGCCGATTTGGGTACAATTTAAATCGGCTGCGTCCCACTGTGCCACATGCATAAAAAGTGCGCATTTGAGGAAACATACACCAGGAGCTCTGGCTCCTCGCACTGATAGAGTTCTGCAGACGTGTTCGCATTGTTGGCTCTGATGCGATGAGCTGTGCGAGCGTGTCTAGGGGCAGCTTTGCACCCCCTCATCTCAGCTGTGCATCCGTCAACCCCTTCATCCATGGCTCGCATGCACTTTTGCTGAGCAAATAGAAACATGTCACTGGTTCAGGGCCGCATGCACATTCGAAGAAAAGCGCGCTGCAAATAAATGCGGAATGAGCCGTTGCTGCCGCTGATGCTGTTGCTGCTGCTGCTGCTGCTGCTGCTGCTGCTTTTGATTTAAAGTTGGATATTTAGAGCAGTCAGGCGTGGGTTGGGAGTGGCCACTGCAAAGGCAAGTGGGCGTGGCCAGGTGGGCCATTGAGCACGCATCGCTATGCCGACGTATTATGCACTGGCCATGCCCAACACCTGCCCAAGTGCCAGACTGTGCCGCTTGATGATGGAGCACGCCACGGAGCAACTCTTGTGGCGTGCTCTGTCTGCCTAGCAGCAGCTGCCTTGCATTCTAATTAGCAGTTTGGATGCTCTACCTTTTTTTTTTGGGCACTTAACATAGTTTGCCTGTTCGCATGTAGACAAATAAACAAACAAACATTTTGTGCAACGCGTCGTATGCGCAATATCACGTCTCGGCCGCAAATTGAAATGCAACTTAAATGCGGCAATAAAATTATATGAAATGGAAATGCAGTCAAGTAAAAATACATGTCTACATGTGTGCGCCTGTGTGTGTGTGTGTGTGTGTGACAGGTGTCTGCGCTCGTGCGAGACTACAAAAGCTTGGAGAAGGAGGATTGGGCCAGGGGCTAGACTTGTTAGCTTCTGGCTGCTTGGCTCTGTCTGGGCCATGTTGATGCGCGCAACTTCAACTAATTGCACTTTGCGCTGATGAGGCAGACACGAGTGTGTGTGCGCATGTGTGTGTGTGTGTGTGCGTGTGTGTGTGCATCAGTGACTGACTGACAGTTGCAGACAAGTTGCATTTCAGCACAAATGTTTGCATGGCTGCGACTCTAAATGAATTTGCCTGGCAGCAACAGTAGCAGACAACAGTTACGCACACACACACACACACACACACATAGAGAGAGAGATAGACATTTGAAATGCCTTAAGAGGATGCACTGATGCTTCAGTGGACACTTTGAATGTCAAGCAGGACACATTTAAGTGGCAGCCTTACGCTAATTACCGGAAGATATTAACACTTGTGTTTCTGGGCCACAAAGCGTCTAAGCAGTTGACCCTGGTCAGCATCAGCAACAGCATCAGCAACAGCATCAAAGCGACGATTGCGGCTGGTGGCTACAGGTGGAATGTGGAGATTAAAGATATGTGAACAAGGAGCAACGTGAATGAGTTCCGATTGAGAGAGTTCTAGTTCCACAGCTGCTAATTGAATTTCGATGTATATACGATCAAACTGAGAATGTGGCTAGGACATCCTTAGTTCCTCTTTTGATTAAATAATACCTAAATAAATTAAAGCTGTCTATTTTAACAGGCAATTCAAACTCTGATCCCAACTTTAAGCCACGATCAGCTTGCCTATTAGCTTGATCAGCTTGCCTTGGCCATTTAACATTTCTTTCTTCTTCCCCCCTTCAAATGTTTCTCCCGCAGGAGGGCAAGCGCGGCTACTTGGAGGGTCTCGCTGCGCATTATAGCAAGCAGATTAATATGCCCTACGAGGACGTACTGGATGCCATCGAGCAGGTGCGCGTGTCCAAGTGGAAGGAGCGCCATGTGCGCATCTCGACGGGACATACGCTGTCGCGACGCAGCGCTGGCGTCGGCAGCGGCAGCGGCAGCGGTGGGGGCAGCGGCGGCAGTGGCAGCAGCAGCGCAACGGGCGGACTGGTGGGCTCCTCGGTGCTGCCCACCAGCCACAGTCAGCCGCTTTATGTGCCCGGCAAGTATTTGGTAAGCAGAGAGCACATTGACTTTTACGGCCGACTGTTTTTACGAGCCGGGCTAATCAGGCCGCACGAGCCGCATGGCGAATGAGTTCTAATTCATTTCGTTTATTATGCATGTATGCAGCCATCGAGCTGCCTGTCGAACCGCGAGGAGAACGAGATCTACAGCTACACCCAGAACGATTTGGCCAATCGGATGGCCCGCAACGCCATCGACTCCAAGTCGGCGCTCAATTTGAATGGCATGCAGCACAGCTATCCCGGAGCGCGCACCAACTTCTTTTACGACTTTTCGGCAACAGGTAAGCCAGAGGGCCAGGTGAGAAGGCGGCCAGGTGCATGTGCTGCATGTGGCCTGCCCATTTGCCAGTTTACCAGTTTGCCAGCTTGCCAGTTTGATGCGGCTGTTTGACTTTTTATGGCTTTTAATTCAATTACATTGGTTTCGACTCGCCCGCTACTCAATCGTCGGCTGTATGCTTAGCGTACGGCTTGTGGCTTTTAATATCGGTTTGATTTCTGTCTCTCTTTTTCCGGCAGAGGGGCGCAACAAGAACAAACAGCGACGCACGGTGTTCGCCCGCTTCCTGCAGGGCCTGCGGCAGAGCGGAGACGAGCTCAATGCCAACGAGGGCATGCAACTGAAGGTGAGTGTACGTGGAGGGGGGGACGGCATACTTAACGGCTGTTTAATATATTGAATATTGATTTGAACGAAATGGGGAATCGAGCAAATGGGGACAGTTTGTGTAAAGAGGTTTTAATGGCGGTGATTAAAATAAAACAGTAAAAGAGGCGAGATGGTAATGTAAAGGCATTCCATATTAAGTGTTTCTCTCTCTCTCTCTCTCTCTCTCTCTCTCTCTAAATTCTTTAGTCAATAAAACCTTGCGTTTCTTCCTCATTGTGCATTCATCAATGCCTATTCGAATGATTTAGTAGCGGTAAATTTGTTTGTAAATGTTTTACATTAGAGATATTATAATAAATACGAGGACTTCACTAAATAGAGATATTAATAGCAATATATGTATAGAGATATCAATGTATATATATTAGAGATATTAACATAGTAACAAATGGAATTCATATTGGGTTTTATTCAGTTATTTAATGCATTGATGTTTGTCTCCTTATAAAAGAAACTCTTTCCATTAAAATTTACTTTGTGTATGGCATTTACATTAGTTGGGGTTTTTATTTCTCATAAGGTATTATGATACTCGTCGGGCAGAACTCTGTTTGCCATAAGTTTAAGGATATTTCCTTACCAAATAGAATATTTTTATTAGAGACAAATTCAATTACCTTAGTATTATTTCCGAAACATTTAACTGCAACAAGTAATTCCGTTAGGGCTCGTTACATTATCGATGGAGCACAACGTTAAGCGGAATTATAATTATTTCTGCTTTATTTGACGTTTCCTTTGTTTTCGCTTTATTCTTTCGGTCGTTTCTATTTGGGTATTATGGTATGTATAGAGCGTTATTTTGCATATTTAACTGCTATGTAATATACTTCAAAGCAGTTTGTGCCCTCGACCAATGAGAGAAACTTTTTGAACGCTCTTTTTATGTCTAATTTTTGCAAAGACAAACTTTTGACCTCGGGCACCGCCTCCCGTGTGCTACTTATAAAATTAAATTAAAATATAAAAACCGCGTTAACCTACAAATAACAACAACAACAACAGCAACAACAAAAAGAGCCGCTGCCAAGTTGACAGAGTCGGAGTCAGAATGACAGGGAGTGAGAGGGAGGAGGAGAACGAGAAAGTGGAAGGCAAACAAAGGGAAAAAACTTATCAGGACTAAGCCGATAAAAGGCAATTACCGTTAATTGCGTTGTGCGAAGGGCGTTGCACGAGATGACAAAACAGAAATGTAAGAGTACGCAAAAGGCAGATGGAGTAAGAGAGACAGAGGGAGAGTGAGAGATAAAGATGGGGCGCAGCTGGTATATGTGCAGCATGCAAACGACCAAAGAGATATGAACTGTGCAGGTGAGGTGCAAGGATGTGCCACGAACAGGCAAAGGATTTGTCCGGTCTAGCTTAACGGCTTGCAGCACATTTCTGCACTTCTTGGGGAATGGCCGGAAGCTGAAACAGAGACAGAGAGAGAGAGAGAGAGAGACAATGAGAGAGAGAGAGAGAGGGTGATAGAGAGTTAAAGGTACGTTGCTGGTCGCCCACTCATTTGCACCTTTGCGCGTTTGCTTTCTGCGGTTGGCATCCGTTGATTCCCAACACACGAATGTCCTTTTCCTTTTGTTTTTTGTATTTTTATTTATTTTTTGTTCTGGGAAGGGAGCAACATTCAACGACAGCGTCGCATTTGTTTTTATTATTTCAGGCGTGCCAAAAAGTGTTTTGTTTTGCGAGTCTCTTTTTGTGCTCCTGAGAGAGTTTATAACTTTTCGTGTTTTACGGTTGTTGTCCAGCATTTCTTTGCCGTATTTGTGTAGCTTCTTTTCTCTGTTGTTCTTTTTTTCCGACCGCTTTTTTGTTGCTGCTGTTCATTTAATATTTAAGCGCAATTTGCTGTCGCCCAGCGCAACAGAGTCCCGACTCTCGGCTTTTTGTGCGGCGTGGTCAATTTTGAAAATGACTTGGGCTAAGCACTGGCGACAATTGTGGTGTGTGTGTGTGTGAGTGTGTGAATGTGTGTTTGTCCTTTGGCACTCATTACCTTTTTTGTGGGCAGGCAGGAGTCGGGGCAGGGGCGGCGGCAACAGCTGCCGGCCATGGTTAGCCAACAACAAAGGCTCACAGAGACGCGTATGTACGATTCTAAACTTGGCTGCGCTCTCTCATTATGCGGTCTGTTGCGGAAATGTTGCTTTAGGGAAATTCTCAGTTTGGCCTTTCATTAATTTTTCGTTGCTCGCCGCTTTTCATTTGACATTTTCATTTTCATTCACATTTTCGTTCCAGTCAGTTTTCAGTTGTTTGAGCTCGCTTTTTTGTGGTTTTTGTTGTGAGGTGTCGATTTGTTTTATGCCGTCTGGCAGCCAGAGCTGCGCTCTGCTTAGTTTGATAAAGTAATCATAGGTTGCAACCAAACTTATTTATATCGTGAATTTATGTTTGTATTTCACAGACGAACGAGCGCTTGAAAAGCTGCGGTACCATGAAACGACCCGAACCGCCGCAGGACTTTGAGAAGACCATACAGCGTGTAAATATAGCAACCCCTGCCCAAGCCCAACCCAAGACCCGAGCACCATTCAAACCGACTAATGCACACCCTCTCTTTTGCGATTTCCATCTAATTTCGCCATTCTCCATCCTCGTGCAGCTGAAGACGCAGAAGGCGGCGCAGAAGAAACCAGCCAGCGCTCCCCTGGACATGGCCCTGCACGAGCGCAACAAGGAGGTGGCCCACAGCCTGGCCACGGAGATGCCATTGAACAATTACACGAAGCATCCCTAGGACACGGTCATCAGCATCGATGCTGCATAAGATTTACATATTTAAGAGACATGCACTCATGTCACTGGAGGAGTTGGGCCCGGGTGATACACACGTTAAGCGAGCAATACGAATTTATAATAAGCTTAGTCTAGTTGATAGTTCAGTGTAAAGGTGATATTGAACAGCATAGGAGCTAGTTGTATAACAGTTGATAGACAGTTCGCAGCGAACTGCAAATAGACAGTTGAAGCCATTACAATAATTACAAAAGCAATCCAATAGATTATTCACATCCAACTCGAGACCCAAAGCCAGTTGAACTGAATTTCAAGTTTTTTGTTTAACATATGCATCGCAAGGACTTAATTACATTTATTTTTGGGCACACACACACAGTTAGCTAAAAGCTAAAAGCATTCAAATCAATCAAAAGTTCTTCTAACATGCCAGAGCATATGCCATACTTGATATTCCATGAGCTGCATTCAGGCACTGAAATAACTAGAGGCAAACGCATCCGAAAACTTGGCAAGGAATGTTGACAAAACGCGAAATTCCAACAAGATTAACGCTGAATCAACACGACCACACATACACACCCACACACACATACACACACCCACACACACACATAGACGAATGCACACGCACAGCAAACTTGCGCTAACCGCAGACGTTGCATAGACAATCCAGCAACTGCTGCTGGTTGCGGTCCTCGCTGCTCTGCCCGGATGCTGCTGCTGCTCCTGCTACTCCTGCTGGATGACTGGGATGGGTACATCTCGCATTGGAGTGCATCGATTTTGGTCTTTGGCTTATTGGGTGGGCGTTGCTGGATGTGGGCAGCACTCGCTGCCGTTGGCTTTTTTGCATTTTAATTGCATGTCGCGCAGAAAAGTATGCAACGAAGTTGACACTGGCCAGAGCCAGGCTTAACCTCTCTCTCATTCTCGCCCACCCTCTTGCTGAATGGAATTTGCATTTTGCAATGAAAGCGGGCAAAAGCATTTGAAATTCGCTTATAATTTTATTTGCCTTTTGGCCGAGAGGCAGCAAAAATGGTCGATAAGAGAGACAGGCACGCCGTTGTGCTCGCAATTCGCGGACTCACAAATGTTTCAGTTCCTGTTGCTGGCCACTGCATCTATTATTAAATGTCGGCTGGCGCCTTATGGAGCTGCCAAAATTGAAACATTTAGCGGATACGTGAGTGCAAAACAAAATGCTCCAAAAACTATGGCCATTTAATGGGGCTTGCGTGCCCGCGTTTCCGCATCCGCATCCGCATCCACATTCACATTCACTTCCCCATTCCCATCCCCATCCTCATCCGTTTGTTGGCAGCCCTCAGTGTGATTAGCCAAAGTACTTTGCTGGCAGCCGAAAAGGCTGTTTTTGTCGCCGTTTTGCCAAAGATATCGACAGAGCCGTTCTGGGCAACGCTTTCGCCTTTCGTCTAGCCAATTCGCGGCGCAAATTAACAATGATTGCAAATTGTTGCATTTGTGGAATCTGATGTGTGCAACGTGCTCAATTATGCCGGACTTCAAACTTGATTGCGAATCGCTTGCTTTATGAAATATCCTTTATTTCACTCGCTGTTGTCTCATGTGTGTGTGTGCGTGTGTATTATTTGCTTTTAATTTTTGTTAACGTGCAATTAAGCTGGCGCTTGTGCTTGCGATGCAGGCCTCGTTTGGCATTTTATCATTTCATCATTGAAATTTAATTAAATGCAATGAAAGCTCATTCGTAAAATCAACCAGCCATAGTGAAATAGTATAGAGACAAACAAAATGCAAACAGTGAAAAAAGGTGAAATTAAATATAGGCAATATAGGCAGTCATGTATTAAATTGTGCGCCATTTTAAAATACATACAGTACCGTTACATGCAAGCACATGCACACATACATTGCGCTCTCTCTCTCTCTCTGTATGAGTGAGTGTGTGTGTGTGTGCGTATGGCATGCCAAACACAAGCAGGATTACAATAGCAATACAACGAATCAGTTTATACATATACATACATACATACAAATACATATATATAAATCTATATTTATGTACGAGCATAAGGTTTTTCAATTTGTTGCAGGCTCAATTTTATCGTTTGGTATATAGGCAAATATTAAGTATACGCAGCAGCATAATATATAAATATAATCGAATGTATGCATTAAGTAATAGAGCTCTTACTTCAATCAAGAGCTGCATATACATACATATATATCTTTGTTAATATCTCTTCATATACACGTAATACACACGATCATTTGCAAAGTGCCAGTTGAAGTAACGAATGTGAACACGTCTAATTGTAAGCCAGCAGGATGTAATGAAAGTAAATAGAGATATGCAGAAGATATACAGTCAAGTAGTCGAGTATTCGTAGCTACGATTAAGGCAATGCGAAAGCAATAACATTTAGTGCTCGCCAATCAAAATATTAAAAACAAAACCAATTTTGAAATGACCATCGAAGTTCGTTGAGCCATTGAGGAATAAATCAATATTTAAAGAGACAGCAATACAAATGGGGGCATGCATATTTATTGGCAGCGCATAAATATTGATGGGATACAAAATATTTACAATAATAAATACTAGAGCAAAAACTCAAATAAATATATATGAATCTATACATATATACATTTATATAAATATATGTATACATTTTCAATTTACATTTTTAAGTGTTTAAGCAAAATGCCAAAATGCATTTTAAATGCCTGGCTCAAGCGAAAAAGTTGTTTACACAATTCAAAACAAATATTTATGAATGTAAGCGCAAAAATTAAAATAAAATTAAAAATATGGCATTACCAGATATTTATATGTATTGATTACAGGCATATATAAATTTAGCATGTAAGCATTTGGAAAACATCCGACAAATAGCACCAGACAAACGATTTTAATGTATGCCACTTGGTTTATGGCACACGGCACATTTTGTATTAAAATATATAGGAAATTGCATTTATTGCGAACCAAATCGAACCAAAAATAATATACAATAACAAGTGCATATGAAAATGAAAATGAAAATGAAATGAATAAAGTGTTTAAACATTGTAAATTGCATTTTCTCTTGAATTTAAACTCGTTCTGATTTGTGGAAGAAGAAAACTTCTATTAGATATATCGATATATCGATGTACCGATGTATGCTGCATGTATATTCTGTATGCTGTATGCTGTATGCTGTATGCTGTATGCTGTATGCTGTATGCTGTAT